CTGGGCTGCCAAAGTGGAGCACGCTGAACTTAACCACTAGGTCACCATGGCTAGCATGAATAATTATGATTTGTAAAGATTTCTATACATGTATGTGTAAGATATACGTGTATTTATATGTATTCTACTAAATATATTTTTCAAATATATATAGTCTCCTGACTCTTTTAGAGAGAAAGAAAAGCTTGCTTGAAATGGTTTGCTTTTATTTATAATATAATTTAAACAAATTGATTAGGTTTAATATGTAGGAGTACTCATGACAGTTGTTTTAGTGTTTTATATTTAACTTACATTATTATTTGGAATAAGTGATTAATGACTAAAACAGTATTTTAAATATTTAGATTCCCTATGTAACTTACGGTCTTATTTTAGTTTCTTTGGGAACATACCTTGATAAATAAATTGCTGAGTATTAGTTCTCTCATTTTCTCTGTACTTAAAAAGTCCTTTGTTCCCCAAAGATTTAGCAATATTTACATGCTTAAAGTCTTCCTTAAATAACTACTTTGGATTTTAGGAACTTTCACAGAAGTAAAAGTTACATTAATTATACAAACACAGTTGATAACTTTGACAGCACTCAGAATTTCATAAAGAAATGTCCGAATTTGCTTAAAAAGGACATTTAGTTGCTGGTAAATTTATAAATCTGCCTTGTGAATTTAGAAAGCCAGAAATGATATAAAATTTTAAAAGAAAGAAGCTTTTATTGGATTGAATAGAACTTTTTATGAAGTTCATGAAAATGCTTTGTTCAAATTCTAGTATTTATTTTTAAGTTGTTGTGAAGTTTCAGTTTGATTATAATTTTGACATATGATATTGTTATGTTAATGTTGAATCTGGACAATTAAAACTTTTTGTTGGTTTTTTGTTTTTATTATTGAAGAAGATTCGCCCTGAGCTAACATCTGCTGCCAATCTTCCCTTTTTGTATGTGAGCCACCACCACAGCGTGGCTACTAACAGATGAGTAGTGTAGGTCCACGCTGGGGAACTGATTCCAGGCTGCAGAAGCGGAGTGCGCTGAACTTAACTACTAGGCCACCAGGGCTGGCACTAAAGCTTTTTTTGTTTTTGTTGTTGAGGAAGATTTGCCCTGAGCTAACATCTGTTGCCAATCTTCTTCTTTTTTTCCTTGAGGAAGATTAGCCCTGAGCTAACATCTGTGCTAGTCTTCCTCTATTTTGTATGTGGTTTGCCACCACAGCATGGCTGACGAGTGGTGTAGGTCTGTGCCCAGGATCTGCACCCAGGCCGCTGAAGCAGAGCGTGCCGAGCTCAACCACTACACCACGGGGCCGGACCCTCTAAAACTTTTTTATGTGAAATACTAGGAAGGAATTACAGCTTCCTTTGTGGTGCAGACAGCATAGATTTTTTTTTTTCCAGGATTTAGACATGTGACACAAAATGTTGCTGTTCCATGCAATGTTTGGACTGGCTCAGCTCTTTGGAGGGACTCAGCTCCTTCCATAAAGGTGATTCTGCTATCTTCAGTGTGTGGCTTCTAAGCTTCCATGAAAGGAAGAGAGATTGTAGAGGATCATGTGAGAAATTTCAGAAACCAAGCCTAGAAGTACATACATTACTTCTGCCGTATACTTTCAGCCAGAATATTTTCAAATGGCTTTATCTAACTACAAGAGGCTGAGATGCAGAGTTTAGCAGTATTCTAAGAAAGGAGAAAAGCACAAAAATATTAGTGGACACTGTCAGTCTTTGTCATATCATATTTACAGCTGCTCTTTCTCAAAGTTCTATGGATTCCTCCTCTTTCCACCCTCTTGGTATTCTCCAGGATATCCCCCTTCTTCCCTTGTTCACATCTTTCTTTTCTTTGGGTATCTTATACACTTTTGAGTCTTAAATACTTTATATTCTTTTTTTTTAGGGCTTTTTATTTTTATTTATTTATTATTATTATTATTATTTAGACTTTTTTATTGAGGTAACATTTTTAAATTTTATAAATTTCAGGTATACATCATTATATTTCGATTTCTGTGTTGACTATGTCATGTTCACCACCCAAAGACTGACTACCATCCATCACCATACCCATGTGCCCTGTCACCTCTTTCTCCCTCTTCCCATCCCCCCTTCCCTTCTGGTAACCACCAGCCTAATCTCTGTATCTATTACCCTTGTATTCTGATGACTCACATCTGTATCTCTGGCCTTGACTTCCAGCTTATACATCCATCTGCTTGGTAGACATAGCCATTTGGATCTTTACAGGCATCTCAAACTCATTTCTAACTTGTTTCCTTCTACTTTCCCAGCCCCTAACCTCATCCATAATGTGTTCCTCCTCTTTTATTTCCATTTGTAGTTTCTGATATTACCGTGTACCTAATGCCCTAAGCTAGAAATCTAGAAGTAATTCTAAATTCCTCTCTCTCTTTCTCTCACCTCCCACATCTAATCAATCATCAAGTTTGGGTAGGTTTTATCACCTAAGTATTTCTTCAGTCTATCCCATCTTTTTCTTTCTTATTTCTACTGTTTCATTTCAAATTCTTGTCATCTCTTGCCTCAGCTCTAGCAATAACTTTGCTTCCAGTCTTGCCTTCTTCAAATCCATTCTCCTCACTATAGCTATGGTTGTTTATTAGAAATGTACATTGAACATGACATTCTCTAACCCAAACTCTTTCCTGTTGCCTCAGTGACCTGGCTAACTTACCACTTCCCTCTTCTGACCCTATGCTTTGTCTTCCAGAATTACATAATCTCTTACTTTTTCCTTTATACATTCTTGCATGTTTTATACTTCTGAGTCCTTGATCAGAGCCTTTGATCATACTGAACATTCTGTTTATAGTCTTCCTAAAATGCTTTTCTCAGCTTTCTTTATCTCATTGACTTTTAGTAATCTTTCAGTACTCATCTAAAGCATCTTCTCCTCATCTCTGGCCTTCCATTGACCCATAAATTCTTGCCTAATTATAAACTCCTTAAGAGCAAGGATCATGTTTTATTCATTTCTATATTCTTAGCATGTAGCACTGTGGCTTGCAAATAGCAAGTGCCTCCCTTCCTGCCCGCCTCAAGCCCCCCAAAAAAACACAAAAGAGGACTTAACCTTTAAGGATATTTGATTGCTCTGTTTGCGATATGAGAGCATATGTGCTGTTTTAATCATAATCACATTTCTTTTAGTGAAGAAAAATAAAATAATGTTTATCTTTAAATTGATAGCTTATTTTTCCCTCTGACCATACTAGAATGAAGAGTTATTAGCTAAGAAAAACTATATATTTTCCCAAACACTTGGGTTTGTGGAAAAGTTGCATAACTTGAGAATAGAGTAAGCACACGTAGTTATTACAGACCACATGGCATCTGCTTTATTGGAAAGAAGGCTTTTACAAAGATCTACTCCTCTCAAATAGTTGATTTATCATTTTCAGTGATTGGAGATGAAATAGGTGAAACCAAACTATAGAAAATTGTGCTAGTAATGCCCATTTGGTTAATTTGTATACTTTTAATTATTCTACAAAGTATTTGAGATAAGAGGTCCATTTTGTATATTCTAATGGAATATTTCTATTTAGGGTAGAGAGTTTTCTAAATATTTTGATATGAATTGAAAATATATTTTCTCCTTATGGCTTTAAAAATCCTTTAGCATTGACAAAAATATTTTCAAATATTCTTTATATTTACAAATATTCCTTATTTCCATAGTTTTCTTATTCCATTGTGCTTTTACTGTACAAGAACTCTAACATTCAAGAGAGATGTAGTCTGAGACTGTATAAGTCCCACTATAGTATGAACTAGTCCTCATTTAATACATCTAAAACTTCTATTTTATAGCTCCAAGAACCATTGTTTTCTTGATATTACTTCACTTTCATCATAAGCACTAATGATTGGCTTTTTGAGAAAGACTATATTTTCATTAAAAAATAGTACATTTTTACTGCATTCCTTGAAGACTAGTATAAAATAATAAAGCTCCTTTGCCTTGCTGAGTGGGTGACTGGACTCACTAGCTAAATGACTGACTGTAAAAACTATGTCATAATTCTTTACTAATAGTTAAAATCACAAGTATCAGAGGTCTGCTTCATCTTATTTTTTGAAGTGTTTAGGAGGTGGAAGCAGTAAAGAGAATTTTGTGTGGAAGTGCCCACTGTCTCACACTAGGTTAATCTTCCTAAAGCATGATTTTCTTGTATTGTTATTCATTTTGAAATTCCTCACTGACTGCTTTGGTGTAGGACGAAGTCAGTAGACTAGCACTCCATGGTTCTTCTACATGGCTCCAGGGGTATTATACATACAAACACACATATGAAGAAAAATTCTACTATTTTTGGTATTGGAGGAAGGGGGCTGGGAAGAATGATTGTAATATCCATACTTGTCTTGGAAAATATATTTTCATTGAAAGATGGAAGGCTTTGAAGCTTTTTTCTTTGTTAGTCATACTTCAGTGTATTCATTATTCCTGCCCCAAACTGCTTTAACTCTTGGCATAGAAACCACTTTAATCTAACAGACAGACATGGCCTGCGGGCCTGAAAAATGACAGCAATTACTTTTTTCCGTAGATTATTTTAGTGTTAGTTGGTGTAAAACTTGGTTTTGTGTGGTCTAATAAATATGGTGATATTTAGGTTGAAAATGCATAGGGAGTACACTTAAGTAATTTTTTCATTTTTGGGTTTTAGAAGAATCATTATTTTCTTCCATGTTTCCCAGACAGTATGGTGGTTTGTTTTGTAGTTATGCTATAAAAGCTTAAGGTGGAGTGGACGAAGGGAGTTTGCATAGATGCCTAAAGTGAGTTATTTCAGAGTTGCATCTAAATTTCTGACTAGGTTTGTGATACTGAGAAAAATTGCCAACAACAATAACAGTGTTATTAAATAACATTGTGGATATCCAACCATATTTTAGATTACTGTATATAACACAGTTCCTTTCTAGATTATCCATAATATATAAAATTGTCTTTCTTTTTCTCTCTTTTGCAGGTAATATAACATTACAAAGCAAGATGGGTAGCATCACAGTAGGTATGTGCTAAGCTGCTAGTTGGTAAATTTTGCATGCTTTTTAAAATAGCTATATTTGTGGTATTAGAGTAAATGAAGTCTGTAGTTTAGCTGATAAACCTTTTATAGAATCCTGATATGCAAGTCAAATATAGGCAGACCCAATATATGAATATGTGAACTTATTTCTGGAAATTCATTGGTTCCTCATCCTATAAATATTGTATAATTATAGGTTTGGTATCAATCAGAATAGAGTTAGAATTCTAATTTCACCACTTTCTGTACATGGGCAAATTATCTAACTTCTCTGTGCCTCAGTTTTCATGTAGAGTTATTGTAAGGACTAAACAAGATCATGTATATAAAGTACTTTAGCAAAGTGACTGACATTTGGTAAAAATTCAATAAATAATAGCCATTTTTATTATTGTTTTTGTTCTAATGCTAGGCCAGAACTAATAGTGGCTAGTGATACTTTAGACCTAGTCACCACTTGTGATGCTGTAGTGTGGGAGAAAAAGTTCAGATTTCCAGATAGTTTAGATTAGAGAATTTCTCTATCGCAAGTAGCACCTGCTTGTCTTTTAGGCAAAGGCACACTCTGAACTCTAAGAGTGGTGGTTGTTTTTTAGGCCTAGGTTGAGGGAGTTGAAGATGGGAAACTGGGATCTTTGTGTGGGAGCTGTGGCTTACTGCCAGCATGAATGCCCAGAGCCTCCTGGTTTTATCCTTTTTGACATGTTACATTTTGTCCTTTGTGCTAATGGAGATAGTGAATATGTCCAACAGTCCTTTTCACTATCGCTCCTAGATTTTCTGGCTTAAAGTGCTCATCCTTTTCTAAGCTTTCTAGAGATTGTAACTTTTATGTTTAACGGGGAATAAATAGAAGATAAAGGCTTCCTAAGTGATAATTATAAATCATTTTAACTAAGACATGACAGAAGGATTTACCTGTGTTCCAGTGGGAAATCAAGATTTACTGTTGATGCTTCAGGCCATTTCATCAGAGGGTGCATCAGGGGATAGTAAGGGAAGTTTCCAGGGTGAACAAAAAGGAACACTGGTGAGAAGCTGAACTAGTTGGGGAGAAAAAGTCCTAGACGTGGGTGGAGTTTGTAGCAGTAAGGGAAGGGGAGAAAAAAAGGGGAATATTCCAAATTGGACTACCCACTAGCAAGCCCTTTAGGCAGAGGTGGATTGGAGGAATACTTATAATATGATAATGCTAGTGTTATTCTTGGAGGGAAATGTGGGAAGCTAAAGGGAAAACCATTCTCTCTGAAATTGTAAATAAATGGTTGTTTATCCATACTGGAAAAGAATAGTAATAGAAAGGATGAAATGAGTAGTAATTTACATCTTTGGAGATGGTTTCATACTCTGTATAAATGATTAACAGTATGAATTCTTGTTATGTTTTCCTATAAACTTTCCCCTTTTCCCATTATTAGGTATTAGAGAGATTTTAGGGCAAAGTGTTTTATTTTTCTTAGGTAAATCTCTGTCCACTCAAAGGAAATTACCTGAGTCCAGTGTTAAGAAATATTTTATAATTGACCACAATTATAGAAGTATTTAATGACCTTTTATAGTTTTTGTAGGAAAACATAAGTTGTATCTATGGCTTTAGGTTGTTCTTAAAAATCCACAAATGTGTGAAGGTAAATAAAGGTTGAATTTCCTATTTGGTAAACATCATTGGTAAATTTTGAGTCTTATTTTGGGAGAATCTCTCAAAATGAGAGAAAGAAGTATGCATTTGTAAGTTATCATCTCTTGATTTGTGATAGTGTGGAAAAGCATGGACTTTAGAAGTAGATTTAACTGTGAATTTTGGTCCTACCACATATTAACTGTGTAACTTTTAACAAATTGCTAAATTTCTCTGAGTTTGCGTTTTTATACATAAAATGGATACCACCTGTACAGCACAAGGTTGTTGAGAAATTAAAATATATAGAGTACAGCCCGATGCATGGGAGTCATTCAATAAACTGTCCTTTTCTTTCCTCTTCCAGTTTATTGTCTGTAATATAAAACAAGTAAGCCACTATGTTTTAACCTTAATTATAAGGGAAGTGTTAATGTCATAAATTCCTTGAATTCTTTGAATATCTATATTAAGACTTTGGAATAAAGAAATATATAAATTATGTCACTGTTTATTGGTCTCAAAATTGTATTAGCGTTTGAAGACAACCCTGAGTACGGCAGTAACTAGTCAACATATATTGAGTGCCTGCTCTATATCAGGAACTCTTTTAGGTACTAGGGAATATGTTGGTCAACAAAAGATAGTCTCCAGGCTCACCTTCGGGCTGATAAGAAAGACAGTGAGCATGTAAATAACAAAAGATAATTTCAGATAGTGCAATGAATAAATAAGAGAGAGTAACGGGATAGAGAGTAGGGAAAAGAAACTACTTTATTTAGCAATCAGGGATGGAGATTGCTGGAGAAAGGATATTTGAACTAAGTCCAGAATAATGGGAAAGAGGCACATAAGATTCTGGGTGCAGGGCTCCCCAGATAGAGGAACAACCAGTGCAAGCCCTGAAAATGGAATGAGTTTATTGTTTTCGAGGCATAAGGAAGACTTGTGGAGAGAGTGCTGGGAGATGAGGTAAAGGAGGGCTGGATCATAGGGCCTTGTAGACATGGTAAGAGTTGAGACTTTATTCCAACTACAAACTAGGGTGTTAGCAGGGGAGTGATATGCAATTTATATTTAAAAAGAGCAACCTAGCTGTTGTTTCCTAATGTGCCAGAGGGGTGCAGAAGTGGAAGCAGGTGACTAGAAAGCTAAATTTGTTTATCCATTCTTCTGTTGATGGACAACTGGGCTGTTTCTAGTTTTTGGCAATTGTAAATAAAGCTGCTATGAACATTCTTAGACAAGTCATTTTATGGAGATACATATTTTTCCCCCTCTTGGGTAAATACCTAGGAATAGAATTGCTGGTTTGAGTAGGTATGTGTATGTTTAGTTTATGATAAACTGCTAGACTTTTTTTTAAAGTTCCATTTTCTACTCCCTCTTACAAGGTATGGAAATTCTAGTTGCTCCACATCTTCACCAACATTTATTATTGTCAGTCTTTTTAATTTTACCATTCTCGTGTATGGTAGTATATCTCTGATATGAATTTACATTTCCCTAATGACTAGTAGTGTTCAGCACTTTTTCATGTGTTTATTAGTCATTAGTGTATCTTCCTTTGTGAACTTTTGTTCAGATCTTTTGCCCACTTATTTTTCAATTGGATTATTTGTCTTTTTATTATTGAGTTGTAGGAGTTCTTTATATATCCTGGGAACAAGTCCTGTGTCAGATACTGTTTTTCTGTATTTTCTCTCAGCCTGTGGCTTGCCTGTACATTTTCTTAATGATGTATTTTGATGAAAAGAAGATTTTCATTTTGATGAAATCTAATTTACCAATTATTTTTATGGTTATTGCTTTCTGTGTTCTTAGAAATCTTTGCCTTCAATCTTGAAGCTATTCTCCTATGTTTTCCTCTAGCAGCTTTAAAATTTTTGCTTTTCCTTTGATCCATCTCTAATTTTTGTGTTTAGTGTGAGTTAGGAGTCAAGATTCATTTTTTCCTATGGATGTCTAGTTGTTACATCACCATGTTGTTGAAAAAATTTCCTTTCTCCAATGGATTATTTCAGCCTCTTTGTCAAAAATTAAATGACTATATAAGTGTGGATCGATTTCTGTTCTCTCTCTCTCCTGTTTCATTGATCTATTTGTTGATCCTTAGGCTAGTACCACTCTGTCTTGATTATTGTTTTATAATAGTCTCTAAATTAGGTAGTCTTCCAAATTTGTTCTTTTTTAAGATTGTTTTGGATGTTGTAGATCTTTTGATTTTCCATGTAAAATTTAAAATTAGCTAGTCAATTTCTACCAAAAATCCAGTTGCAATTGTATTTGGGATTGCACTGAATTAGTTTAGACAGAACTGACACCAACATTGAGTCTTCCAATTCATGAACATAGTATAACTCTCCATTTAATATCTTCTTTAATTTCTCTCAGCACTGTTTTGTAGTTTTCAGTGTAGAGGTCTGGCACATCTTCTGTTAAATTTATTTGTGTTTTTGACCCTATTACAAATGGAATTTTTGAAATTTCATTTTCTAGGTGCCTGCTGCTGGTATATAAAAAAATACAACTGATTTTTATACATGGACCATGTATCTTGTGACCTTGCTAAATTCACTGATTTATTTTAATAGTGGTTTCCTGGAATCTAGAACCCTTTTCTATGTCAGCAGTCATTTCATCTGCAAATAAAGATAGTTTTACCTCTTTCTTTTCAATCTGTATTCCTTTTATTTCTTTTTCTTGCCTTATTAGGCTAGCTAGGACCTTTAATGCAATGTTGAATAGTAGCGGTAAAAGTGCTCTTGTTCCCAATCCTAGTCTCCATTATTAGGGGGAATGCTTTCAATATTTTAACATTAAATATGATGTTAGCTATATAGGCTTTTTATAGGTGTTCTTTATCAAATTGAGGAAGTTCTCTTTTATTCCTAGTTTTCTGAAGGTTTTTTTTCCTTTTCTTTGATCGTGAATGGATGTTGAATTTTGTCAAATGCATTTTCTGAATTTATTGGAATGATCATATGTTTTTTCCTCCTATACTCTATTAATATGGCCAAATATATTGATGTTGCTGAAAGAGGAATGTAAAATTTTTCAACCAATTCTGTCAGCTTTATATTTGGCTTTTGACTCTTTGTTATTTAGGTATATACATATTCATTATTGTTATGTCTTCTTGATGATTTTTTTTGTTATTATGAAATGTCCTTCTTTATCTCAGGTAATACTCTTTGTCTTGAATCTATGTCATCTAATGGTAATAAAGGCACTCTTCCCTTCCTATGCTTAATGTTAGTAATAATAAAGGCACTCTTGCCTTCTTATGCTTAAGGTTAGCATGGCATATTTTTTTCTGTCCATTTACTCTCTGTCTTGATGTTTAAAAAGCATCTTTTGTAGA